AAGTCAAAAAAAAAATCCCACGTCCCATTTTTGGTACCCGCCCAAATTTTGAAATTTTTGCGCGACGAAAAATACATATTGGTCGCGCAAAGTCTAAAAAAATTATATAAAAAAATTCCCGCGTCCCATTTTTGGTACCCGCCAAATTTTTGCGCGACGAAAATATATATTGGTGGCGCAAAGTCTAAAAAAAAATTTTTTTTCATCCCCCATCCTATTTTTGGTACCCGCCCAAATTTTTAGAGTTTTGCGCGACGAATTGTTGGTCGCGCAAACTTTTGAGAGACGAAAAATTGGTTCGTAGCACGATATTTATAAAAATAATTGTTATGAATAATAAAATTATTTTTTTTATGATTTAAAATATAATTAAGGTTAAAGTTACTTAATAAATGTATATACCAATTTCTTAAGTGTTATACGTACAAAATAAATAAATTTAAAGCTACTTAATAAGTAAATAAATAAATATATATATAAACACACACCATTCAACGATCCAACCGTCAGACTTGTTTGTATATACTTCAAGATCGTATACCCCAAAAATCGTAAAAAACAAACATTCGGAGACCTAGTAACGGGACAAAAAATTTCAACGGTTCTTAATGAAAAATCACAATTTAAAGGTTATTTTAACTCCGATTTTGATGATTTTTTACAACTACACTCCTTGACCCTATATGAATACAATGACCCTATATGAATACAATGAACTAATTCGATCGTCAATTTAAAATATTTACACTAGTGGATACCACAAAATCTTATGTTATATTTAACAAAAGTATAAATAAACTCTTAATTGTTAGTGAATATATTGTTTTGATGACATACGCATTCAAAAAAACTAGTTTCAACGATCCAACCGTCAAACTTATTTGTTTATACTTCGAGATCATATACGCCAAAAATCGCAAAAAATAAACATTCAGATATCAAGTAACGGGACAAAACTTTTCGACGGTTATAAATGAAAAATCTTGATTCAACGGTTATTCTAACTCCGATTTTGATGATTTTTTACCGCTACACTCCTTTACCCTATATGAATACAATGACTGAATTTGATCTTCAATTTAAAATATTTACACTAGTGGATACCACAAAATCTTATGTTATATTTAACAAAAGTATAAATAAACTCTTAATTGTTAGTGAATATATTGTTTTGATGGCATACGCATTCTACGAAACTAGTTTGAACGATCGAACCGTCAAACTTGTTTGTTTATACTTCGAGATCATATACACCAAAAATCGCAAAAAATAAACATTCAAAGATCAAGTAACGGGACAAAACTTTTCGAGAGTTATAAATGAAAAATCATGATTCAACGGTTATTTTAACTCCGATTTTGATGTTTTTTACCGCTACACTCCTTTACCCTATATGAATACAACGACTGAATTTGATCTTCAATTTAAAATATTTACACTAGTGGATACCACAAAATCTTATGTTATATTTAACAAAAGTATAAATAAACTCTTAATTGTTAGTGAATATATTGTTTTGATGGCATACGCATTCAAAAAAACTAGTTTCAACGATCCAACCGTCAAACTTATTTGTTTATACTTCGAGATCATATACGCCAAAAATCGCAAAAAATAAACATTCAGATATCAAGTAACGGGACAAAACTTTTCGACGGTTATAAATGAAAAATCTTGATTCAACGGTTATTTTAACTCCGATTTTGATGATTTTTTACCGCTACACTCCTTTACCCTATATGAATACAATGACTGAATTTGATCTTCAATTTAAAATATTTACACTAGTGGATACCACAAAATCTTATGTTATATTTAACAAAAGTATAAATAAACTCTTAATTGTTAGTGAATATATTGTTTTGATGGCATACGCATTCTACGAAACTAGTTTGAACGATCGAACCGTCAAACTTGTTTGTTTATACTTCGAGATCATATACACCAAAAATCGCAAAAAATAAACATTCAAGATCAAGTAACGGGACAAAACTTTTCGAGAGTTATAAATGAAAAATCATGATTCAACGGTTATTTTAACTCCGATTTTGATGATTTTTTACCGGTACACTCCTTTACCCTATATGAATACAACGACTGAATTTGATCTTCAATTTAAAATATTTACACTAGTGGATACCACAAAATCTTATGTTATATTTAACAAAAGTATAAATAAACTCTTAATTGTTAGTGAATATATTGTTTTGATGGCATACGCATTCTACGAAACTAGTTTGAACGATCGAACCGTCAAACTTGTTTGTTTATACTTCGAGATCATATACACCAAAAATCGCAAAAAATAAAAATTCAAAGATCAAGTAACGGGACAAAACTTTTCGAGAGTTATAAATGAAAAATCATGATTCAACGGTTATTTTAACTCCGATTTTGATGATTTTTTACCGGTACACTCCTTTACCCTATATGAATACAACGACTGAATTTGATCTTCAATTTAAAATATTTACACTAGTGGATACCACAAAATCTTATGTTATATTTAACAAAAGTATAAATAAACTCTTAATTGTTAGTGAATATATTGTTTTGATGGCATACGCATTCTACGAAACTAGTTTGAACGATCGAACCGTCAAACTTGTTTGTTTATACTTCGAGATCATATACACCAAAAATCGCAAAAAATAAACATTCAAAGATCAAGTAACGGGACAAAACTTTTTGAGAGTTATAAATGAAAAATCATGATTCAACGGTTATTTTAACTCCGATTTTGATGATTTTTTACCGGTACACTCCTTTACCCTATATGAATACAACGACTGAATTTGATCTTCAATTTAAAATATTTACACTAGTGGATACCACAAAATCTTATGTTATATTTAACAAAAGTATAAATAAACTCTTAATTGTTAGTGAATATATTGTTTTGATGGCATACGCATTCTACGAAACTAGTTTGAACGATCCAACCGTCAAACTTGTTTGTTTATACTTCGAGATCATATACGCCAAAAATCGGAAAAAATAAACATTCAGAGATCAAGTAATGGGACAAAACTTTTCGACGGTTATAAATGAAAAATCAAGATTTAATGGTTATTTTAACTTCGATTTTGATGATTTTTTATAGCTACACTCTTTGACCTTATATGAATACAATGAACTAATTTGATCGTCAATTAAAAAAATATATTTTCAAATAAAAACCCAATCCAAACAACAATAATATATTTTTCTAACAAAGATTGTAAAAAATATTTTATTTATTTTTATAAGGACTTTGCTAGACGAAGTTAATTGTTTCGTCGCGTAAAGTCGCTTTGCGCGACGAATTGTTTTTCGTCGTGCAAAGTTACTTTGAGCGACGAATTATTTTTCGTCGCGCAAAATTTGGTCGCGCAAGACTTTGAGCGATAACGTATTGTCGTCGCGCAAAAGTTGGTCGCGCAAAGTCACTTTGAGCGACGAATTATTTTTCGTCGCGCAAAAGTTGGTCGCGCAAGGTTTTTAGTGACGAAGTTTTTATTTTTGTCGCGCAAAGTGTCTTTGTGCGACGAATAATTTTTCGTCGCGCAAAATTTGGTCACGCAAGGGTTATTTTGTAGTAGTGTTCAATCTTGACAACATTGAGGTACCAAAACTACTTTCTTTTTCTTTTTGTTTTCTCTTTTCTTCTTCCTTTCTTTTCATTATTTTTCTCTCTTTTTTTTTATTTTTTTTTATTTTATATTTATGTAAACAATCACCAACCTCAAACTCATCTTTGTTTCTATTTTTTTTTCTTTTCACAACAACTTTGATACTCACAAGGTAAGGTGCAATTCCCCCAAACATAAAGCTCCACCAATTTTCATAGAACAAAGGTAGGATAAAGTGTTTAAGTTTATGGTAAAGAATAGTGTGGTTCATGAAGGAAAAGGCTTATTTAGGCTCAAGGGGGCTATCTAAGGGATAATGTAGTAGGGACAAAAGCTTGTTTGGCCATGGTGGTGATCCTAGGTGCCTTAATCACTTCCTAGATAGAATCATGTTAATCAATACAAAGCCTTGAAAGATATTAAAGCAAGTTCTAGTAGATAATAATGCACTCATGAAAAGAATATATAACTCTCAAGAAAAGAATATGCATGAGGCTCAAAAACTCACAAGGGTTATACAAGTCTACACTAAAATCCACATATAATTCTCTAAATCAAAAGCAAATTGCATTCAATTGGCTATGTGCATTGAAAAATATGAGAATAATCATGTAAGAAAAAGTTAACTAAAGAATCACACTTTAAATTCACATAACCAATCCTCAAAAAGCTATATAACAAGTAGAATTCAAGTGTTATTGACTTGTGGAAAGTTTAACTAAAATGACTCAATAAAAGGAAAAAGAAAATCTTTTTAATTTTTTTTTGTAAATTTTAAATTTTTATGGGTTTTGTGACTTTTAAAAAACAACAACTTAACTATTGAAATACATAACAACACAAAAGAAATAAAATAAGATTCAAACAAACCAAGAAAAAACAAAGAGTTTCAAAATGCAGTTTCTGGCAGTTTCGACCTCTGTTCAGATTTTAGTTCATAACTTTCAAAGTACTGGTCCGATTTCAACGTTCTTTATATGGTTAGATTCAGCACGAAAAAACAAAGAACACAGCGTGGACCAAATTGTCAGAATAGTTACCAATTAAAACAGTTTTAAGCAAAAATAAACCCTACGTTTTCAGACATTAGAAATTTGCAAAACACAAGAGCAAGCAATAAAGCAAATCATTCCCCCCAAACTTAAATGAAACATTGTCCTCAATGTACAAAGAATTAAAATGCATGCAATGAATCAAGCAAAGGGAGAAAAGAATTAAAACAAGAAAATAAAGAGTAAAGAGTAAGGTTTAGAGCTCCCTAGGCATATAATCTTGAGTAGGAAGTGCTGCAAACTCCAAGATCCTCTCATCTCATCATCATGCATCCAAAACATGGGTTGCCTCCCAAGAAGCGCTAAATTTAAAGTCTTCAGCCAGACTCAATGATCTTCACATATCTGGGGGATCATCATGGTACATCACCTCAATAGTCTTGGTTTGTGCCGTCAAAGTATCAATATTCTCTATAGGATCTGTGCGGTTTGATTCAATGAATGTCTTCTCTATAATTTGATCCACAACTTCGACGTGAAAACAATCATAAGGATCCAAGGGCCTTTTCGACCCTTCAAAGACCTAAAAATTTATAGTAGTATCTTGCACATTCATGGTCAGTAAACCAGATTTAACATCAATTTTCGTACCTGCAGTGGCCATGAAGGGTCTACAATAGGATGAGAGGGAGTTCACGACCCGAAATTTCAGCTTCCTCCATATCCAAGACGACGAAGTCAGCAGGGAGGATAAGTTGATCAACATGGATAAGTACATCTTAAACAATGCCTCTTGGGTACTTCACAGAACAATCTGCGAATTGTAAAGAGATCGAGACATACTTTAGTTCCCCCAACCCAAGTTTCGGATCCAACCCAACCCCACCACCACTGCCCCTAAAATCAACTTATCTTAAGGTGTACTTAGATGATAGGGTGTAATCAGTTAATTTTAGGGTTCGTTTAGCAGCACTCCTTGATTTATTTAGTCAAATTTGTGAGAACTGAAAAGTTGTCCTAAACCTAAAACGTTGTTATAGACATAAACATAGTATTATCATTGAAAATGTAAATCAATTATATTCCTTATAAAAACTGCGGACTGAGTACCAAGTCTGGATGCCTCTTATATATTTGGATTCCTTATTTATTTTACTGTATTGTGGGTACACGAATTTTATATGGCGGCCCACCGGTTCATTTAGTCTTCACAACAGTTGTCTTGCTTTCTGGTTGGAATCCAGCCTCATGGCTACAGCGTGCAAGATGATTGTTTGTTGGATTAGTCTGTTTTTGTATTTGTATGCTTGTTTTGAATTTTGTACATGTGGTACTCTTTCCTACTCTGAAGTTTTGTCCTACTGAATTTTTTTAAGGAGGGTTTTAAGGAGACCACACAAAAACATATCGTGTTGATGTACCCGTGTTTTGTTTTGGAGATAATGAATTTTGATATTTTGCTATCATATATATCACAAAATAGAGGTATAAATTCAATTCAATTAATGATAAAACAAACATAAAATATAAATATAAATCTGAAATAGATGATGCATTTGTGGCGACAAACCATTGAGTCGGAGAAAATAGACATGTGGTGACAAACTATGTCGTCGGGAGAACATAGACATGTGCCGACAAACCATTTCATCGGGAGAAAATTGAAATATGCCGACATACCATTTCGTTGGGAGAAAATAGACTGAAACAGCTAGCTAGTGTCGGACGATAAGAATCAATAATGTGATGCGCACGTAAAGTAGAGTTTGTGTCCGTCAGGAGAAATTTTCAAATAAAATGATCAAGAACACGAGTCACGTAATTCATTAGGATTTGGATAAAGTTATAATATTAAATTGTTTGTTTAGACTACACAATAATTTATAGAAAATTGGTGCGTAGTATAATTGAAATTTATGCACATTTTTTAATAAATTAAAAATAGGTACATTATTTAGAGAAAAAAATAGATACAAAATTTAGCAAAAAAAATAGGTTCATTATACAAGGTACATTATTAGAGAAAAAAAAAAATAGGTACATTATTTGGAGAGAAAAAATAGGTTCATTTAAAAAAAAATTGTTTTCATAAAACAAAAAATAAAAAGATGATCAAATTATTTTTAAAAAAACAAGTTATAGGTAGAAAAAATAGGTTCATTTAAAAAAATGTTTAAAAAAACAATAAATAGATTATCAAATTATTTTTCAACATAATTAAAATGTACACTATTATTCATAAAACTATAATAAAATAGACTACTAGTCGTATAATTCATAAAAGGAAAACAACATTAATTCCTAAATTTAATATTGCATTTAAATTACTAATACATCAAATAGATTACTAGTCATAATTCATAAAAGGAAAACAACATTAATTCAAAAATAGATTACTAATAAGTTAATGTTGAATTTAATATTTAATTTCAAATAAGTTTCTACATTAATTCCTACATCCATTACAACAATTTGGAGATCTTTCCAAATTTAATGTGTGTCATTAGTTACACCCCGCTATAACACATTAAGTTATAAATAGGGATAGTTTTGGAATCCGAGAAATACAATAAATCAGATTTTAAGTTATATTAGGTAACTTACTTAGTTGGATCCTAGTCATCGGGTATTATTTGAAAAAATTTGAGTATTTTAAATAGAAAACAAAAGAAAAGAGTTGTAGGTATTTTAAAATGAATTTGATGGGTTTAAGCTCAATTTACTATAAAAAGAAAATAACGAAAACAAATCAACTCCAAATAACTCTTCGGCTTTAGGCCTGGACTCTGAGGGCGATCCCCAAAGGCCTCAATCAAGGGGCCTCAAAACTAGATATAATTATTTACGCCTGCACGATATTTATTGAAAGTTTAAAAATAGAAGGGCCAAATAAAATAAAAATACTTTGTCTTTAACAACGGAAATGCTATAATGTATGTGACTTGAGAGAATTCTAGGAACACTCTGGATCTTCAGTAAGTTTCTATGTTTGACACGTGTCCTACCATTTAACAGGGAATTAAATCTGTTAACTTCTTTTATTTTGCTTTAAAAAAAATTAAAATTAAAAACTCCAAAATAGTCTGGAGCATCCCCTGGCTCTGGCCTATCAACTCTCAAGCCCCACCCAACCACGTCTCTGAACTCTCGAGCCCTAAGTTTCAATGCAACACCACTTCTGGTGCTCTATCTCTATTCGCTGACCATCTCCTAGGACGAATACCATAGCCCATTTTGAGGACTTAAGAATTCAACATTGGGACTTCCCACCAAAGGCTTTCATGGAGACCATGACCCAATCATGAAAAGGTTCATATGCAAATGCATAATTATGTGGTTCTTTGCTGGAGATATCTCCTGGTGTTGTACTGAATTTTGGAATGATAAAGTGTGTATGAGAAGTGTGAGATAGTTGAATGCATATGTTGGTCCCTTTTTCCGTCTCTCGTCCTTTTACCAACTGCGGGGGTCAGTTCAGCTCTGAGGAACGAGGAGGAATTGCTGGATCAACACCAATGCCCCGATCGAATGGTGTCTCTTGGCCCGCAGAGAGGACTCTTTCAATTTCTGAGTAAAATTGAAAGTTGAATTAGTTTGTCAGAAGCGACGGGCCCGATCAAGGCCATATCTGTCACTTCTTCTCGATACCGATTGTTGTTGTTGTTGCTGCGTAGGCGTGCCACTATTGGATTTATAACTAGCCCAATAGATCTGGTGTGGAGATAAGTAATTGATGCTGAAGGATCTTGCGCCTTTTTTCTAGACTTCTTACCAAGCCATTGTGCTCCAAGGGGGGTACTCAGGGGCGGCCCTGGGGTGGTGCAAGTGGCGCCACCGCATAGGGCCCCCGAAAAAAATTTCTTTAGATTATATATATTAATATTGTAAGCATTGTATATATAGTACAGAGTGCTAGATATTTGCGTAAGAATGTGTCTGGCGGAGTTGGCTCCAGCGCTGTCCATTTAACGAAGTGCTAGAGTTCGAATCTCATTGATGTTGGTTTATTTGCTTGTTTTTATATTATTTTTGCATTATAACTAAAAATTTTATGTAATTATTAAAATAACAAAAAAAAAAAAAAAAAAAAAAAAAAAAAGCCTTTAAATAAGAATCTCATTGATGTTGGTTTATTTGCTTGTTTTTATATTATTTTTGGATTATAACTAAAAACTTTAAGTAATTATTAAAATTACCAAAAAAAAAGAAAAAACAGAAAGCCTTTAAATAAAAGGAAACATCGAAGTGGTTATATTATTTTTGCATTATAACTAAAAACTTTACATAATTATTAAAATTATAAAAAAAGAAAAAAAAGAAAAAAAGAAAGCCTTTAAATGAAAGGAAACATCGAAGTGATTATATTATTTTTGTATATAACTAAAATGGAAACATTTAAATTTTTATGAATTTGATTTCTAATTATCATTACATATATATATTGATGGTGACTTTTAGTTATAAAAAAATGTTTATGACATTAAGTTATGGAAAAATTTTATTTATAGTATTTTCGTATTAGATTATGTGATGCCCCAATTTAAGTTTCGCACAGGGCTCTCAAAATTTCAAGGACGGCCCTGGGGGTACTGGTCTGGATCGATTCTTTTCTATGCCTCGATTACAAGGACTTCAATATTCTTTCCTTCGTGGATATCGCCTTGGCAAGTTTGAGCAATACCTGAACAGGCAACAAAGTAAGACCAAGTTTGTGGTTAGCAAAGACCCTGCCTGGGCTCTATTAACCTGTTTCAATATTTTTCTTATCCTTGGACTAGATTGGTGGTTAGTTCAGGCCCAGTGATGTAATTTCGGGCCCAACTCAACTCCCTATCCTTCTCTTTATTGTTTCTTTCGGGCCCCTATCTCTTTTCGGGACTGAATACCAGTTTTTCTGGGCTTTTCAAAGAGTAGAAGGGTAGGAATCCAATTTTAAGTATTAAAATTGTCCATGACCCGTTTTCTTAGATGGTTAATTGAAATTTAACCACATAAAGCCTTCTGCAACTTATCTTTGATTTGAACTTTAAATTAAATAACAAAAGATTCCTCAGTTAATCCATTAATCATTCTCAAATTTGAATCACAGAATAAAGGAGGCACTGAAGATTTCTCAATCCAGTTAAAAGATTACATGAATTGAAACAACATACATCCCCTTCAGCCTCCCACGTGGGTTCAGAAAACACGCTTACCAATTTTTTAACTTGTAGTGTTAGATAAAAGTCTGACTTTCCTTACTTGGGCCTTTTATTGATTAATACAAATAGGCCCAGTTGTGAAAAGGATGGTTTTTCTAAGAAAACAAATGCTAATGAGCCTAACTCTATTTTTAAAAAATATCTTTTAAACCTTGCGACCATTTTTGGCCCGTCTACCAAAATTGGGTACAAATAGCATATTACTAGTTCGACAAAATGTGCAGCTTGTGGCTTTGTGGATTTCCTGCTCTGTTTTGCTGCTTGTTAGCTTTAATGAAGTATTTGATTGAACAAAGGTATACTCAAGAATTTAAATTGTTCATTTGATTAACTGGGCTTGAAGGAAACAGAGGATAAAAAAAATATATACTCGATTGTTTTTATTCTTGTGGAGATTAGAAGGGAGGAGAAATCCTAAACCTTAAAATGACGTTGTCTTTGCCATAAACACATCATTAGGATTGAAAATGTAAATAGGGAAACCTATTTTTGATAAAAACTGAGGACTGTGTACTCTGGATGCCGCTTAAGACAAGCGCTGTTAGAGCTTTAGTGAAAGCAAGCATGACCCAGGGGCTACTGAAATGATCTTCGAAAAATTGAGCGAACCATGCCTTCCACTTGGCCTTGTAGTGTTTTTCTAATTTGGCATTGATAAAGTTGTACATGGGATGGGCAAGCACCAAATCAGGGCCTATCTCGTGAAAGAGGTCGGCGAGGGCATGGCCGCTCCCACGCAAGTTGCAAAGTATGCCGGCTGACCGTAGATGCTTAGCATTGTCGGGATGAGCAATGAGTGAACTGAGGAAGCTGAAGTAAGAGGTGACACCAAAATTATTTATCAAGAAGATGATAAGTGGGGTGACCATAATCAGGAAGATGATGAGTGGGCCGAAGATAATCAGAAGTGTTAGTATGAAAATTGTATTGTCATTTCCTAGACTCTAGCATAGGTTGGGAGTAAGTGTGTGAATATCGTTTACCAAATATTTTGGCGCAACACATTCAATCCTAGATTTCCGAAGCATGACCTAACCGATATGAGAAATTGATTTCAGGTAAATCATGACATAATCATGCATTCATTATAGGATTCCTAATTGGAGTTATTTTCAATCAAGTAAGTTTTTATTAGCCCTATTTTTAATAGGATTAGATTTTATCTCTTGAGATTATTTTCCTAGTTGGACTCTATTTTAATTTAAGGTAAAATATTATCCTTTCCTTTTATGTCTTGCACGTTGAAATCTTTTCCTACTTGTTTGGTCTAATTCGTTTGTTTTAATAGATATTGTTTTTCTATTAAAGATTAGTTGGTTGGCATATTTACTAAGAATCCATATTGATTAAAAACTCTTGGTCATAATTGAATAAGAGATGTGGTCTTGCTTTGACGTCTTGACAAAGAGTTATATTGATTCAGTATTGTAGAGTCATAGTGGAATAGGAGTAATGGTCTGTTGGGTTTTCCTCTTTAATGAGAAAAACTCCCTTTAATAAAACATAAGCTTTTCCTTTCAAAAACAGTGCTTTTGATATTTGTGTTGAGCATATAGAATTCTTAAGAAAAAATTGTTGTGCATATATTTGAGATAAATCATCAAGTGTTCCATGTTTACTTGGTGATTTATCAGACACTTTAATCATTCATATTGCATTCATTTGCATTGTTCGGTGACTCATACGGTTGAGGGCACCAAGACCGTGGTGGCGGTTTTCCTCCGGTGAGCTTGAAGCAATCGTGGCCAGTATTGCGTTCAACATAAAGAGTGTCGAAGATCATCCCGTGACAGAAGTTGAGTTACGAAGAAGTCGGTAAACATTATCTAGGATGCGTCTAGGATAAGTGTGTGAGTCTTGTAATCATCGTTCTATAGTGGATTTGTGTTGGACTGAGGAGTCCTGTGGATTTTCCCTAGAGGTGTGGTTTTACCACGTAAAATAATTCTCTACGTGTTCTTTTATTTTATGTTCAACACGTTTCAGGATTGATAAGCCATATCAATCCTGTTACTGAAGTTTATTTTTATTTATTTGATTGTAATCCTAAATTGGCATATTCACCCTTTTCTAGGCATTTTTAGACATCCTACAGGTATTTTCAAGAAGGATGATGAATGCCTTCTTTTGCTGAATATAAATAGGATGCCCTAATGGCTTGCGCGTGAGCTCTAATCTTCAATAGCGTCTCTTGCTTCTCCCTTTCTAGCGTGTCCAGTGGCTTTTCTGCTGCAATAATCTGCATTTCAACAAAACTCTGTATACTGCTGAACAGCTCCTCCTTTTTTTTTGGTGTGGTTGTGCTCATCAACAGCTTGAGGACTGGACCGGTAAAACTATAGCACATGTTCAAATTTTTACTTCTTCCGTTAAATTTCATCAATTTTCTATGTATTGGACCGGTAAAGTCGTCAATTTGGATACAATTATCCTTTAAAAACCACCAGATAACTAAACTAGATTCATGAACCATGAATGTTAGACATTCAAAACAAAATCTGCTGAAAAGTATAATTTATTATTATACAAATTTATGTGCGCCAAAAAGCAAAGTCACCTAAGCCATCACAATATTTGAATGTGCTTTATTGCCCTCAAAAGTTCCAGATTTGATGTAAGCGAAGGTTGTATTTAACTCACCGACTCAATTTTGTGAAAAGCTTTACGAGAATGAACACAATATTCTTTGATATTATATGGCCAGTAGTGTCAACTTGTTGCATTAATAGACACATTGACTCTCACATAATATTATTAGTTAAATTTGACAGAATATGAGATCCCTCTTGCAATATATATATTAAATTTTGGAAATGCTATAAAACAAACAAGAGGATTCCAACATGTAATCTGCATGCATGATAAATTTAGGGATTAATTACAACAAAGGCCACACAATGATCACATATTGTTTATTTATTTATTGTTTTTCTTCCGAGAATCACATCGATTATCGAATGACAACTTACAATAAGCATGTTACACACAAACTTCAACTAAAATCAAAGAAAAAGTTGCACCAAATTAAGAGAAAAGCACACATGTTCAACTTGCCTTATTTTAGTCACATCTGCTGATAGTGACAGTAAAATACCAAATGGAGAGAGGACCTCTAGAAGAAGTCGTAATTGGGGGGACGCACAGAACCATGCAGCACACAAATTGCAAAGCAGCGAATGTATTTTTAGTACCTGAAAAAGGCTGAAGTACGTAGTCGTTTTAGTACCCGCGCTCTTTCAGGTACTCAAGTAAGGCCTCACATGGAGTACCAGAATTGGCAGCGTACCACGTCTGAGCAGCGGTCATCCCAAGCCCTAAGAGAACACCAATGAAAGCCAGGATAGTCCAGGGGCTGCTGAAATGTTCATGAAAGAATTGAGCCATCCATTTCTTCCAATTGGTCTTGTAGTGATCTTCTATCTTGCGTTTAACATCGTAGTAAATTGCAGTGTTAGGCACCAAGTCAGTGCCTATCTCATTGAAGAGTTTAGCCACCTCATCGTCACTCCCAAGAAAGTTTCGAAGTATGTGGCTTTTCCTCAGATGCTTCACATCATCTGCATAATCGATGAGCGAATCGAGGAAGCCTATGTAAGAGGTGACCCCGAAATCGTTCTGGAAATCAGGACACATTTCGTAGGCTATCAAGTTCATGAACTTAGGCCCCATCGAGTCGTCTACTTTTATTTTGGGAAGATAAAGGAACCCACAGCATAGAAAGCTCTTAAAATATATGTCGAAATTTTTGGCTCGTAGTATTTTTCGAAATTTTTGTGATCTCGGAGCATAAAGGGAACCCTTTGGATCTTTGGTTTGGCATTTTGAGCCTGAGTTGATGACCTTTCTTCTTCCGCTGCTTCTTCCCTGAATTTTTTTGAGTCTCTTTTCCCTAGAGATCCTCACCTTTGAAGTTTGCCCAATTTCTGCAGGTTGGTCTTGGTCTCCCCTGCTTACTTGCCCACCTCTTCTTGTGCCTTGCTTCACAGACAGCTCCATCTCCCTGGAAACTACATTTTTATTTTTTTGGGCCATTTAATTTCAAGCTGCTGCTTGTCGAAATGAATATTTGTGGCTAGGGGTGGGCACGGTCCAGTTTACAATTCGCGGATCCGGTTGTCTCTTTCAAGCACCACCATTGCCCTAATCCATTAATTTAACACATTTCAGAGAAAACCAATTCTAAACCTTTGCGCTCTCTCTCTCTCTCTCTCTCTTTATCCTTTTTTTGGTCAATGATAATATTGTATGGTAATTAAATAGTTATTAATTTTCTACGTGAATTAAACAAGTTAATCAATGTTGCGTGGTCGTCCTTCACACCAAGTTTTTTATTTTTTGGTCAACAACCCCCGAAGTCTCTCGCTCTTATATTTTTCCTACTTCAACTAATCCTAGCCTATTGATTAGGCTGAATATTGAATATCCAAAATGCTCCCCATTTAGATGAAGGGACAACAAAAATTGAATAAGCATATTGGAATCATAATAGATATTGTCTTCATTGAAGTTTGAGTCTCGTTAAATTGATAAATTTTGTAAACCAGGTCTTAGTTTAGTATTTCGACCAAAAAGGTCTTAGTTTAGTATTAATTTTGTAAGCCAGGGCTTTAGAGGAAAAATCTATTTAAATTAGAGGTGTCAAACGGGACGGACCGGCCCAGTACGGCACGAGTCCAGCCCGTTTAAATGAGGCACGGCACGAGCACGAATATTAATGGGTCGTGCTCGGCACGGCACGAAAACTTGGGTCGGGCCGGGATAAAAAAAATAGGTCCAATGAACTGGGCCGGCCCATGGCCCGAACCCACTTCAAGCACGGCATGAGCCCAAGTCCGGTTCAAGCACGGCCCACTTAACTTTTTTTTTTTCTTCTCAAAATTCAAAATGCAATAATTTGATATCTAATGTCATTGTTTATATATATTTTTTTAGGATTAACATCAAAAGAGTCCCTCAAGGTTTGGGGGTCATTTTCAATGTGGGCCCGGGGATTTGAATTTCATCAATTTACGTCATAACATTTTCAAATCTAAAAAATTTAAACCTTCCGCTAAGTTGACCATTTGGTCAGACGTTAACTGATGACGTATCCACTATAGGACCCCCCTATTAACCAATCCCAAAAAAACATTTGTAAAAAATAACATTAAAAAAAAAATAAAGATTAATAAAAAAAAACCCAGCACCTTCACCACCCCTATCCCCTCTCACTCCAACCCTAGCCCCTTTCATCCTCCGCATCAGCGCCGGCGACATCGACACCATCTACCTCTGCACCCTAAGAGGCATCGGTTCCAGTCCTACCCATCGGGATCGCGAGAAGAACCTTAAAAAAAACCCAGCCTCTTCCCTACCCAACAACCCAGCAGCCACACCACCACCCCCTCTTGCACCGGTTCCAGTCCCGCCCATCAGGATTGCAGGTGTTCGTCTTCCTTGTGCTTTTAGGCCATGAAATTCATAGACAAGAAAGGCTCTAGCGTTGAATCAGAAGGCCCACAGAGCGAAGATCGAAAATTTTGAATATTCCTCCATTTTTCTCAGATATTGAATTGCATAATTTTCTTTTTATATGATTTTTTATTAAAAAAAAAAAGAATAAAATCAAATTTAACTAGGACCTCTATTTTCTGTTTTTTGTATTCTTGTGCTTACAAGGCTCGAATGAGATCATGAGATGTTCTAATCTTGTCTGCTTTATCTCTCTGCAAAGTTGTCTTCAATCCAGATTTGTTTAAATTTTTTTAATCGAAAATTTTAGTGCTAAAGCTTTCCATGTTTTATGTTGCAGAAGTTCTGGTGGTCTTGGAATACCTCCACATGCTGGGAATCATCTACATGGACCTAAAACTTGAGAACGTGCTGAATTGAGGGGGATTTGTTCCACCAGTGAAGAAAGGAGCTAGCTTGAGACTGTCGTTGGGTATATTTCTGGTTTTTCATGGCTTTTGGTTGTGTAAAGAGAGAGGGAGATGGCTGGGGTTAGTGTGAGAAGCGGTGGGGAACTGGCAGAGGGTGGGGAGCTGGGTTGTTGGGAAGGAAGGGGCTGGGTTTTTCAAGCTTTTTTTATTTTTAAATTTTATACTATTTTATATAAAAAAAAATTTTGAATTGGTTAGTAGGTGGGTCCCACAGTAGACACATCATCAGTTAACGTCTGATCAAACGGTCAACTTAACAGAAGGTTTAAATTGATTAGATTTGAAAACATTATGGTGTAAATTGATGAAATTCAAATCTCAAGGTCCACATTGAGAATGACCCCAAACGCTTCTCTTATAATCAAAGCAAGACATTTATTCACATATAAAATAATAAGCTGTTTAAAGATGAAAAGTTGAAGTAGACTTTGCGGAGTTTGATACTTTTTACTCTCCGCCCCTTTATATTGTTTGGATGTTTGATTGATTAATGTTTTCAAGTAGTTCATCATTTTTTGCCTCTATATTATATTTTTAATGTTTAATAATTTGAAGTTAGTGGAAAAAAAAAAAAAAAAAAAAAAAAAAAAAAAAAAAAAATCAAAAAGTGAAAAAAAAAAAAAAAAAAATTCAAATAGGTTAGTTCTTGGGCCTGATTATGGCACGAGCACGAGTTTGGCCCGACCCGTTTCAATATGGACATGGGCTTTGGGCCAGGGCGAGATCAATGATTTTACTAAATGGGCTAGCACGGCAAGGCCCGATAAATTAAATGGGCCGGCACGGCATGGCACAAAAATATTAAAAGCACGAGTTTAAATAGAACGGGCCGGCCCGACACGACCCGTTTGACACCTCTAAACGGGATGGATCGAGCAAGCCTAACCATCAGACCGAGCCAGACTTTGGCCCATCAGACAATAGACCAAATGATGATTTAAATAAGTTATATGTCTTTGGTTTACAATAGTAACTGAAGGTTTTGATTCCAATCTTTATGGCGTGAGTTAATTGCATAGTTGGGATTAAATTTTATTCTCAACGTGCAAGTGTTTTATGTGGTTTAATTGCTTGGTTAAAAACCCAACGTTCACTTGGAGTCAGTAATCTCCTATATAATAAACCATTAGAGCTATACGTTTAAAAAAACAAAACAAAACAAAACAAAGAGAAATCAGATTGGCACCTTTCCATTATTTTCTCCTCCACATTCTTGAGTTTGTGTTTCATTTTTGTTTTCTTTTATCAAGGGAAAGATTCGAGTTGTTCATCCGACCCAAGCATTGCGAGTGTACGCTTATGAGCGACGTCATATGTTGTTGTATCCTGGAGGATAGGGCGCCATATAACCTTGCTACACCGAAACATTGTCTCCAAGGGGCGAAATCTACTCTTAAGGACAGTGAATGACACGCCTCAACCTAAAACTATTATTCTACTTAATTATCAGGGAGAACGATCTTTTGCATCCCAAAAGATAAGTATCTTGCTGTAATTTCATTAATTTTATTTAATCCTATATCAATGTAAACTATAATTTTCTAATAATTATTTCATATGATGTTTTGCAAGAAAAGTAGCATCCTTCAACCAAATTCTCCAACAATCTTAAGAGTAGATTTCACCCCTCGAAGACAATGTCTTGGTGTAGTAAGGTTGTACGGCGGCCTACCCTCCAAGATACAACAACCTATGATCCTCATAAGTGTACACTCGCAATACTTGGGTCGGATGAACAACTCGAATCTTTCCTTGATAAAAGAAAACAAATTGAAACGCAAAAACTCAAGAATGTGGAGGAGAAAATAATGAAGAAAGGTGCCAATCTTATTTCTCTTTTTTCAAACGTATAGCTTGAAAGGTTTATATATATATGTAACACCCCGACTCCAAATTTATTCCTATTTTAATTAAATTAAGAGAATTATTAATTTACTCTTGGGTTAAGGGTAATTTTGGTCATTTTCTTATCCAGAAGGATTTCGGGACCACGAGTGGTTTGGTTGCGTAGGTGGTACTGAGACGAAATCGTAGACAGGCGGTAGGCTTGAATCGGAAATTTAACGAAGTTTTGGCGAGCAAATTAGGTTCAGTGGCGGAACCGTAATTATTTCGAAGTAAGTTTGGGGTAAAATCAGATTTTTCACATTTACCCCTCACTTTCTCTCTCTCTCTCTCTCCCGCGTCTTCTCCCTCTGCGATTTTCCCCTCCCCCGTGTTTCACTGTTCACCGAATCGGGAAAACCCTCACCGCCGTCACGTTCGGCCACCTCAGCCCTCGAGACCGATCCCGTTCGACTCGTCTCGAAGCCCCGATCACAACCCACCCCATTTCCCCGCTGGAAACCTCGAATCCCGACGTCAGTTCCGACTGGATCAAACCGGATTCTTCACGGCGTTGCGCCGTCGTCTCCGCCGTCCAACTCCGGTGAACTAGGTGAGGTTTCTTCTCCTTTTTACGTGCTCTAGCTGATTATGGGGTAGTTTTGGATCGATTTTGAGTTTTGGAACCGAATTGGAAACCTAGGTTTTGGCCGGTTTTCAATTTGAAATTCCGGCCAGTTCCCGTGTGAATTGGACCTCGTGGTAGTTGAATAAAGTGATCCTGACCTTGAGAAGAAGCTAGGGTAGGAAGGGTGAGCGTTGGTGTGGAGATTTTCCGTCGCCGGAAATTCCTCTACACACCCACGCGCTGCCGGCGCGTGTGGCGGCGCGTGGGCAAGGCTGTTGAAGTTTCTTTTCATCCTGATGAGATCATTAGGTTGTCACGAGTGCATAGGATTTTACGGATCTCAATTTGGATGTCGTTTGACTATCGAATGGATTTCGCATATTGTGCGTTATTCGGGTTCGATAAGTTCTAACCGTCGGATCATTTCCAAATTGAAGTATGTTGATTTAGGTACTCTTAGAATCCTATAGGAATTCGTGGATCGTGGATCGGAGCCCCGGGTGTTCCGATTCAATAATTCGAAGTTTGTGGGATTAACGATAACCGTAGGATGGGAAGCGATTCCCAAACTTGTAACCGGACTTTAGGATATCCTATTGGGCGTACACGCACCGGGATCTTGGGGATTTAAGTATTCTCTTTTGTGAATTCCCGTTTCGAAGTGTATTATATTAATCAAGGGTTCGTATCTCGAAATAGGTACTTCTGTCGATCGTTCGCAGCAGGCAGGACCCTCTCGGGGCCGGGCAGCGTGGGATTACCTGTGAGTGGACTTTGTTTTCAAGCATTTGCATGGTTTTATTGATAAAAGATTTGTGCATATGTTTTTAAATGGAAATGTGATTTATTAAGTATTTGGTTGATGACTTTGGATATTCATATACGTATTGGCAATATATTTTGAGTATGGCTATGTTTGAGTATTATGGATATGTTTATATGGATTTTGGGATATCTGTCTATATTGCCTATGTATAGAGTATGAGGAGTTGATGTTGTGAGATTGTGCTATGTATGGAGTATGAGGAGTTGTTGTTATGAGATTGTGGAAGGATATGAGTTTGAGGGATGGTTGTGAGATGTATGAGTTGTTAGGTGAGTACCATTCCCTGGTTACTAGGCTTCCCACACATGGCGTTGGCAGTGCCGGTGTGGTGGGAAGGTCATGAGATTGCTGGTCCCATACATGGCGTTGGCAGTGCCGGTGTATGGGAAGAGTATGTATATTGCTTAGTATCATCACACATGGCGTTGGCAGTGCCGGTGTGGGGATGATACTGTCTGCGCGCGTAGGACTTGATATGAGATTTGTGAGCTACACGTGGCGTTGGCAGTGCCGGCGTGTGAGCTATGGAGTTCTGTCCCCCGGTTGGACTACTCATCCCTGGACGCGGGTTCTGGTTCGAAAATCCTGCGTACCAGCCAACAATCCCCCGGTTGGATTGTCTTCCCCGGTACATTAGTATGGAGAGAAGTATACGTTATATTATAGATATATATATATATATACTTATATAGGTATACATATGTATGGGTTGGTGAGAGTTGCATACTTGTGGGAATGGAGTTGGTTTGAGATTTTTGAGAGTTATTGGACTTTGAGATTTTATGTTTGAGTATTTGATTTATGGATGTGGAGACTGCATGCTTGAGCATTATTTTTACATGGTGGGGTTACTATGTTGTTTTAAATGCAAACTTTATTTTTGTCCACTCACATATTTCTGTTTTGCGCCCCCCAGGCAGTAGTGGCTTTTGGAAGCGCTCAAGCAAGTTGCGAGCTCCAAACATTCCATCTGTAGATAGGATTCGTGTAAATTCCTTCTACTCTGCTGTTGTTGTAAACAAATTCTGTTAGATGCTCTGTTATCGCCCATGTTAGGTTGTTACTTGAGGCCGGAGGCCACTTTACTTTGAATTGTTGTATGTTGAAAGCATGCTGGCAGTTGGGATTTATATTATGTAAATTATGCAGGTTGAATGTTGTTGGGTTTGAGCATCTTACAGGGGAGACTCTGCCAAAATTTTGGTAGGATGTCTTGGGTTTTTAGTAAGTGGGCCCGGCATCGGTGTGATGTCGGCACCAAAACAGGGTCCGCCCCGGTTTCGGGGAAAATTCTGGGGCGGGTCCTGTCAGCTTGGTATCAGAGCATTAGGTTCATTTTCCTTCGACTTTTGCGCTTTTGCTGCATTGTTGATCCAATGATTGTATGGTTTCTTTGTGTGGAACCATGTCGACTCGTCAACCAAGAACGCGAGGTCGTGGTCAGAGATGGGGGCCACACATTCTTTCGTAGCACACAACTTCGTACCTTATGTCAGTGTGAGACCGACACCCATGACAGGAAGCTTTAGTATTTCTCTACCCACGGGGGAAGTCTTGTATGCGACCGGGTATTCAGAGAGTGTTATGTTCAAGTAAACGAGGCGTGGTTGGAAGCCGATTTGATTCCCTTAGATTTGGTGGATTTGGATATTATTTTAGGAATGGATTGGCTAGAGAAGCATCATGCGTCCGTGGATTGTTTCCGGAAGGAAGTGACATTCCGGAGTCCAAGACAACCCAAAGTGATATTCCGGGGAGAACGTAGAATCCTCCTTACTTGCCTTATCTCTGCTATTACAGCTAAGAGGTTACTCCAGAAAGGGTGTGAAGGATTCCTAGCTCATATCATCGACACTCGAGAGATCACCTTGAATCTGGAAGATATTCCCGTTGTTAGTGAGTTTCCTGATGTCTTTCCAGATGATCTTCCTGGGTTACCTCCTGAAAGGGAAATTGAGTTTACTATTGAACTCCTTCCAGGCACCAATCCTATCTATCTAACTCCTTATAGGATGGCACCATCCGAGCTTCGGGAGTTGAAGACTCAGTTGCAGGAATTAGTGGATATGGGTTTCATCCGACCTAGTGTTTCCCCATGGGGTGCACCGGTGTTGTTTGTGAGGAAGAAAGATGGGACCATGAGGTTATGTATTGATTACCGGCAGTTGAATAAGGTGACAGTACGTAACCGGTATCCTTTGCCACGGATTGATGATTTGTTCGATCAGTTGAAAGATGCCAAATACTTCTCTAAGATTGATCTGAGATCAGGGTACCATCAATTGAGGATTAGAGAAGAGGATGTTCCCAAGACCGCATTCAGAACGCGGTATGGTCATTATGAATTTATGGTGATGCCGTTTGGACTGACGAATGCTCCAGCAGCGTTTATGGATCTCATGAACAGAGTGTTCCGACCATACTTGGATCACTTTGTGATTGTGTTCATAGATGACATCTTGGTTTACTCCAAGACTTTGGAAGGGCATAAGAAGCATCTAAGATTGGTATTAAGGACTTTAAGGAGGAAGCAGCTTTATGCCAAATTTAGCAAGTGTCAGTTTTGGCTAGATAGAGTGGTATTCCTTGGACATGTAATCTCAACGGAAGGGATTTATGTGGATCCGCAGAAAGTTGAGGCTATTGTGAATTGGGTGCAACCCACAAGTGTGACGGAAGTACGGAGTTTTCTGGGGTTAGCAGGTTACTATCGTCGATTTGTGGAAGGGTTCGCTTCGATAGCAGCACCTCTCACGAGGTTGACAAGGAAAGATGTTGCATTTGAGTGGACGGAGGAGTGTGAACAGAGTTTTCAGGAGTTGAAGAAGCGGTTGACCACCGCACCTGTTTTGGCTCTTCCTGATAACTCAGGGGGCTTCGTGATCTACAGTGATGCATCTTTGCAAGGATTGGGATGTGTTCTGATGCAACATGATCGGGTGATTGCTTATGCCTCGAGGCAACTCAAGAAGCATGAGCGGAATTATCCAGTTCATGATTTGGAACTTGCTGCAGTGGTGTTTGCTTTGAAGATTTGGCGGCACTACTTATATGGTGAGACGTGTCAGATTTTCACTGATCACAAAAGCCTTAAGTATTTCTTTACCCAGAAGGAGCTAAATATGAGGCAACGGCGTTGGCTGGAATTGATCAAGGACTATGATTGCACGATTGAGTATCACCCAGGCCGAGCTAATGTGGTTGCAGATGCATTGAGTAGAAAGACCACTGCGAACTTAGCTCACATCAGGACAGCCTATCTTCCATTATTGGTGGAACTACGGAAGGATGGAGTAGAAATGGAGATGACTCAACAGGGTGGAATCCTTGCTAGCTTGCATGTGAGACCCATTATGGTGGAGCGGGTAATTGCAAGCCAGTTGGGAGATCCTACACTCTGTAGGATAAGGGGAGAAGTAGAAAATGGAACACGGAAAGATTATGCCATAAGGGGAGACGGAGCCTTGGTAAAAGGAGCTCGTCTATGTGTACCTAGTAAGAATGCTGAATTGAAAAGAGAAATCATGGAGGAAGCTCACTGTTCCACTTACACTATGCATCCGGGTAGTACGAAGATGTATCGGACACTACGGGCATATTATTCATGGCCGCATATGAAGGGAGACATTGCCAAATATGTGAGTAGATGTTTGATTTGTCAACAAGTGAAGGCGGAGCGACAGAAGCCATCGGGACTCATGCAACCACCTCCGATTCCCGAATGGAAGTGGGAGCGTATTGCCATGGATTTTGTTTTCAAGCTTCCACGTACTTCAAAGGGTCATGATGGAATTTGGGTGATAGTGGATAGACTCACCAAGTCTGCCCATTTTCTACCCATTAAGGAGACCTATCCTTTGACAAGGTTGGCAAAACTTTTGTGGATGAGATTGTGAGATTGCATGGAGCACCTGTGTCCATTGTATCGGACAGGGATCCTAGGTTCACTTCTCGATTCTGGAGGTGTTTACAAGAAGCTATGGGTACTAGATTGCAGTTCAGTACCGCTTTTCACCCACAAACCGATGGACAATCGGAAAGGACTATCCAGACTCTGGAGGACATGTTGAGGTCCTGTGTGTTACAGTTTAAGGATGCATGGGATGTTCACCTTGCCTTGGTGGAGTTTGCTTATAATAACAGTTATCATTCAAGTATTGGGATGGCTCCTTATGAGGCGTTGTATGGGAGGCAGTGCAGGACTCCCATTTGTTGGAATGAAGTGGGTGACAAGAAACTGGAAAAAGTGGATAGTATTCGAGCAACAAATGAGAAGGTGAAGATGATAAAGGAGAAGTTGAAAACTGCACAAGACCGACAGAAGAGTTATGCAGATAACAGGTCTAAGGATCTTGAGTTTGCAGTTGGGGATTGGGTGTTCCTGAAATTATCTCCTTGGAAGGGTGTGATGAGATTTGGGAAACGTGGGAAGTTAAGCCCTCGTTACATTGGACCCTATGAGATTACGGAGCGAATTGGACCTGTTGCATATAGACTTGCATTACCCCCAGAACTATCTCGAGTTCATGATGTGTTTCATGTATCCATGCTTCGGAAATACATGCCAGACCCTTCTCATGTATTAGAATATCAACCTGTGGAGTTAGAAGAAGATTTATCATATGAAGAGCAACCAGTACAGATCTTGGATAGGAAAGAACAAAGGTTGCGTTCTAGATCTATCCCGGTAGTGAAAGTTCTGTGGAGAAGTCAAACTGTTGAAGAAGCTACTTGGGAACCCGAGGAGCAAATGCGGGCCAAGTACCCTTATCTTTTCCATTGAAAGGTACGTGAATTTCGGGGACGAAATTTTTATAAGGGGGGTAGATTGTAACACCCCGACTCCAAATTTATTCATATTTTAATTAAATTAAGAGAATTATTAATTTACTCTTGGGTTAAGGGTAATTTTGGTCATTTTCTTATCCAGAAGGATTTCGGGACCACGAGTGGTTTGGTTGCGTAGGTGGTACTGAGACGAAATCGTAGACAGGCGGTAGGCTTGAATCGGAAATTTAACGAAGTTTTGGCGAGCAAATTAGGTTCAGTGGCGGAACCGTAATTATTTCGAAGTAAGTTTGGGGTAAAATCAGATTTTTCACATTTACCCCTCACTTTCTCTCTCTCTCTCTCTCCCGCGTCTTCTCCCTCTGCGATTTTCCCCTCCCCCGTGTTTCACTGTTCACCGAATCGGGAAAACCCTCACCGCCGTCACGTTCGGCCACCTCAGCCCTCGAGACCGATCCCGTTCGACTCGTCTCGAAGCCCCGATCACAACCCACCCCATTTCCCCGCTGGAAACCTCGAATCCCGACGTCAGTTCCGACTGGATCAAACCGGATTCTTCACGGCGTTGCGCCGTCGTCTCCGCCGTCCAACTCCGGTGAACTAGGTGAGGTTTCTTCTCCTTTTTACGTGCTCTAGCTGATTATGGGGTAGTTTTGGATCGATTTTGAGTTTTGGAACCGAATTGGAAACCTAGGTTTTGGCCGGTTTTCAATTTGAAATTCCGGCCAGTTCCCGTGTGAATTGGACCTCGTGGTAGTTGAATAAAGTGATCCTGACCTTGAGAAGAAGCTAGGGTAGGAAGGGTGAGCGTTGGTGTGGAGATTTTCCGTCGCCGGAAATTCCTCTACACACCCACGCGCTGCCGGCGCGTGTGGCGGCGCGTGGGCAAGGCTGTTGAAGTTTCTTTTCATCCTGATGAGATCATTAGGTTGTCACGAGTGCATAGGATTTTACGGATCTCAATTTGGATGTCGTTTGACTATCGAATGGATTTCGCATATTGTGCGTTATTCGGGTTCGATAAGTTCTAACCGTCGGATCATTTCCAAATTGAAGTATGTTGATTTAGGTACTCTTAGAATCCTATAGGAATTCGTGGATCGTGGATCGGAGCCCCGGGTGTTCCGATTCAATAATTCGAAGTTTGTGGGATTAACGATAACCGTAGGATGGGAAGCGATTCCCAAACTTGTAACCGGACTTTAGGATATCCTATTGGGCGTACACGCACCGGGATCTTGGGGATTTAAGTATTCTCTTTTGTGAATTCCCGTTTCGAAGTGTATTATATTAATCAAGGGTTCGTATCTCGAAATAGGTACTTCTGTCGATCGTTCGCAGCAGGCAGGACCCTCTCGGGGCCGGGCAGCGTGGGATTACCTGTGAGTGGACTTTGTTTTCAAGCATTTGCATGGTTTTATTGATAAAAGATTTGTGCATATGTTTTTAAATGGAAATGTGATTTATTAAGTATTTGGTTGATGACTTTGGATATTCATATACGTATTGGCAATATATTTTGAGTATGGCTATGTTTGAGTATTATGGATATGTTTATATGGATTTTGGGATATCTGTCTATATTGCCTATGTATAGAGTATGAGGAGTTGATGTTGTGAGATTGTGCTATGTATGGAGTATGAGGAGTTGTTATGAGATTGTGGAAGGATATGAGTTTGAGGGATGGTTGTGAGATGTATGAGTTTGTTAGGTGAGTACCATTCCCTGGTTACTAGGCTTCCCACACATGGCGTTGGCAGTGCCGGTGTGGTGGGAAGGTCATGAGATTGCTGGTCCCATACATGGCGTTGGCAGTGCCGGTGTATGGGAAGAGTATGTATATTGCTTAGTATCATCACACATGGCGTTGGCAGTGCCGGTGTGGGGATGATACTGTCTGCGCGCGTAGGACTTGATATGAGATTTGTGAGCTACACGTGGCGTTGGCAGTGCCGGCGTGTGAGCTATGGAGTTCTGTCCCCCGGTTGGACTACTCATCCCTGGACGCGGGTTCTGGTTCGAAAATCCTGCGTACCAGCCAACAATCCCCCGGTTGGATTGTCTTCCCCGGTACATTAGTATGGAGAGAAGTATACGTTATATTATAGATATATATATATATATATACTTATATAGGTATACATATGTATGGGTTGGTGAGAGTTGCATACTTGTGGGAATGGAGTTGTGGTTTGAGATTTTTGAGAGTTATTGGACTTTGAGATTTTATGTTTGAGTATTTGATTTATGGATGTGGAGACTGCATGCTTGAGCATTATTTTTACATGGTGGGGTTACTATGTTGTTTTAAATGCAAACTTTATTTTTGTCCACTCACATATTTCTGTTTTGCGCCCCCCAGGCAGTAGTGGCTTTTGGAAGCGCTCAAGCAAGTTGCGAGCTCCAAACATTCCATCTGTAGATAGGATTCGTGTAAATTCCTTCTACTCTGCTGTTGTTGTAAACAAATTCTGTTAGATGCTCTGTTATCGCCCATGTTAGGTTGTTACTTGAGGCCGGAGGCCACTTTACTTTGAATTGTTGTATGTTGAAAGCATGCTGGCAGTTGGGATTTATATTATGTAAATTATGCAGGTTGAATGTTGTTGGGTTTGAGCATCTTACAGGGGAGACTCTGCCAAAATTTTGGTAGGATGTCTTGGGTTTTTAGTAAGTGGGCCCGGCATCGGAGTGATGTCGGCACCAAAACAGGGTCCGCCCCGGTTTCGGGGAAAATTCTGGGGCGGGTCCTGTCATATATGAGCTTTCCAAGTGCAGGTTTGGTTATTAAACAAGCAATTAAGCTGCATAAAATGCTCCCACAGTTAAAAGTAATAAGTTGCCAATGTTAATATTGTTTAAATCCAAATATAAATATATCAAATTAATACACAATCATAGCCAGTTACATTTGGCCTAGATGTTTTCTCCAATTCAAGACATTAAAACCCAAAACAAAACTGCCAAAAGAGATTAATATTAATATCAATAAAAAACGTCCAACTATACCAAAAGGAAAAGGTTTTGAAATCTCAACTTTAAAAGAATTAAAACCACCATTTAACACATATTTAAAATTTCAATTCAATAAATATAGTAAAATAACAAATATAAATTTAATATTTGGATTTAAACAATATTAACATTGGCAACTTATTGCTTTTAACTGTGGTAGCATTTTATGCAGCTTAATTGATTGTTTAATAACCAAACCTTTCAAGATATACGTTTGAAAAAAGAGAAATAAGATGGGAGTTTCACTAAAACACCCAAAATGGGGGTTGAAATTATAAAAAAACCCAACACCCAAAACACTTTATAAACACACCCAAAACCCATCATTACACACACTCAAAACCCATTTATAAACACACCCAAAAAATATACAATTGTTGATTTTGAGGTTGATTTTGGGTGTGTTTCTATGTTTAAATAGTGCTTGGGTTTTTTTATAAATACATGTCTAGGATTGGGTTTATTTATAAATTTGTAAAATAAGATTGGCACCTTTGTTCATTATTTCTCTTCTACATTCTTGAGTTTTTGAGTTTCAATTTGTTTTCTTTTATCAAGGGAAAGATTCGAGTTGTTCATCCGATCCAAGTATTGCGAGTGTACGCTTATGAGGGTCATAGGTTGTTGTATCTTGGAGGGTAGGTCACCGTACAACCTTACTACACCGAGACATTGTCTCGGAGGGGCAAAATCTACTCTTAAGGACAGTGACTACACGCCTCAACCTAAAACTATTATTCTAGTCAAATATCAATGGAGACCAACTTCTACATCTCAAAAGATAAGTATTTTACATTACTTCTATTAATTTTATTTAATCTACAATATCAATATAAATTATAATTTTATAATATATATTTTATGTGATGTTTTGCAAGAAAAGTAGCATCCTTCAACCAAATTCTCCAACAGGAAGCGCCTCTGGCATCCGGGTTTCTGTTCACTTTTCATTTAGGCCCAATATATTCATTTATTTACTTATCTATTTGGATGACATACTGATTATTTATCTTATATTACCAAGGAAAATACAGTTTGAGGATTAATTATATACTTGAGTGACAAGTAATATTTTTCTAATTATAATAGTTTAGTATCTGAAATTTGATCGTTAGGTTTTTTTGTTTTTGTTTTGGAAAAAACGAGTTCGTGGTTATTTGACATTTTTCAATTGTATATATTAGGGGATTTCCAGAATTAGTGGTAAGGCAATTCCTAACATAATCTGGCCTCAAGCTTATTGAGTTGCTGGAAAATTATCATTTCCAGTAAGAAGCATGAGAGACTTAAACCTCCAACAACTCTTTCTAGCACTAATGTGCAATTTTGAAAGGCTAAAAAGTCTTTATGGATTGAACATCTAAGGTTTTTTTTTCTTTTCCTAGAATGACCTTAGGTCCCTTCATCCATTCATATCATACATGAAAAATTATTTTATGTAAAAATATTGACTAAGTATGAAAATGGACATTAGTACAAGAATCCTATAGTGAGGGTTTTATCCGAGGTTTTTAGATGATACTTTATCTCTTAACTGTTGGATCAAATTGATTAATTGTTGGATCAAATTGGTTAATTTAATTCAACAGTTAAGATATAGGACCTCACCTCATGACCTTTGATAACGCATTTACTATAGAATGAATATGCAACATTAGTGTTATTTAGTGTATAAGTAAAAAGTAAAAGTTTTTTCTTTTGGGTTAATCATTTTATTAGTCCCTGAACTTAGACCAAATTTGCATTTGAGTCCCTAAATTTTCAAGATCGTTCCCGTGGTCCTTTAACTTCACTTTTGTTATGACAAATGGTTCTGCCGTCAATTTTGTTAACTTTTTATATTAAATGCAGGGGCAAAATGGAATTTTTATATTAAAACCAAAAAATGAATATAAAAAAATCATATCGTTAAAATAACAATAAAAGAAAATCAAATAAAAAACCAACAAAAAGAAAAAAGAAAAATCAAGTTTGGGGGG